GGCCCTAACCGGCCGCCTGAAGGTGATGCGCTGCCAGGGAGCGCGGCGAGTCGTCTTGTGAGCTCGAGCCAGTGCCTGACGAAATCGGCCACCGCGGCAGCGCGTGTCCGTGTGATGTGGGCCTGTACGGATGCATGGGCAAAGCCCGGCAAGCGTCGTAGGGTATTGGCGCATCTACCGCGGACGCGAAACTGGAAACGCTGCCTCGGGATCTCAGACGATCTTTCCGTCATGTCGCTGTGGGGAGAAGGCGCTATGTCCAGCTGTGGTGGTGCCTCCTGCGGCGCTACTCCGGGTGGTGTGTCACGGGCCGGCACCATCGGAGTCGATCCCCTGGATGCACGATCTGCTCGACTGAAGCGGAAGTCGGCGATGGCGTTCGCTGGCCGCGGCACGCTGGGCAATTGACCGAAATAGTGTCGGTGATCTGCATGAGCTGTTGGTGGCATGCGTGGTGCAAGATGGGTCGGCACGTCGTGCAGCCCTCTCGACGTGGATAAAGACCTCGAAACAGATGGGGCGCTCCCTATCGTCGCCGTTGAAAGGGGCAGCTGTAGGAGGTGTAGTTGGCGCTGCGGCCGGCACTGGAGGAAGGCTAGCCGGCGACTCTGCGCAGTTCCGTGCGGCTTGGCGCTGCTGGTCTGCCTGCTGTCGTAGTGGTTATACTGCTAGCTGCGTGTTGTCGAGCTCGTCTAAGTGCCGTCGTTGGGTGTACTCGAGGTTGGAATGTACGCTGTGTTCGGACCGATTGGCGCTAGACATCCATGTCTCGCGGCCAACAAACCACATGGCCACTCTCCACGATGGCTGTCTCACGTCCACTGGCCTGTCTGTGTTGAGCAAGGCCACTCCAGAGGGAACGTCCGGCACTGGCGGTGGCGTGAGCGCCGTTGCCGATGGGGTGGCCAAATGGAGCTCGATCCGTATGGTGTGCTGATGCCGAACGAGGCCACCGACGGCATGTAGGCCCAACTCGGCAACTGCACGTCGGCAGCTGATGGCGTGGGAGCTGCGGCCTGCGTGTGGGGGCCGCCCAGCCAGTCGCGCCCCTGGTCCTGCCCCACAGTCTGCGCCTGTATGCCAACCGGCCAGCTCGCTCACGAGCTCGGTCGACTGGCGGAACCCATGGCGCGGCGCCTGCAGCCAGGCCGTCGCGGCCACGTCCGAGCTGGAGCAGCGGGAGGCACGGCAACTCCATCCGTCGTGGAGCTGGTGGGCCGAGGCGACGAACGTGCAGAGCCGCGGCACGGGCGCAACCTGCCTCGCCCTGGGGCCAGCCCGCCAGCGGCGCCGCCGTTCGGCGGCCGCCGCGTCCAGGGCAGCACGGAGGAACCGCCAGCGCACTTGCGACGCCACCACCTCTGTGGCCAGCACTCGGGCGCGATAGTTACACGGCGAGGACGCAAGCCTCGCTGGCGGTGGTGTCGGCCAGCAAGTCCGCCACCGCGCTGCCCCGCCGCTCGGCTCCAGGGATCCTCCGCGCCTGGGCCTCCTCGGCGGTGGGGTGCGGACGCGCGCCGACGCCCATGGAGAGCCAAGCCGACGTCATGTCAGAGATCCGCGTTGGGCCCATCGGGCCGCTGGTCGAGCCACCTCCACCAGCCCTCGCACACGGCGGGGTTGTCTGAGTAGAACAACATGGCGCCCTCGGAGGACTCGATGGCCAGCAGCAGCGCCCGCAGCTCGCCACGATGCACAATTTGCCGCTCGCCCGCCAGGGGGCTCCAGCAGCGCCGTACAGTGCTGGACGGTGTCGTCACATAGGCGGCACACTGCCAAGCCGACCCGCCCCAAAGCCAGTGACTCGGAGCCGGGGCCATCGCTCGCGTCGCCGAAAGGCACCACGGGACCTGCAGCCGTGCCGCGCCGAATGCCAGGCGGCCCCGCATCGCGAGCCCACAGAGGTCCAGGACTGCAGTCCACGCCGCTGGGACAATGTCTTTGGTGGGAGGAAGAAGTGGAGGTGGAGGAGGCGGAGGCGGAGGAGGCGGAGGAGGCGGAGGAGGAGGAGGAGGAGGAGGAGGAGGAGGAGGAGGAGGAGGAGGAGGAGGACAAGAAGGAGGAAGGTTTGGGACGCAAGGGGGGGTGATATGGTGGGGAAGGCGCAGCGATAGAAAACTGGCATCGGAACCGTCGAAACCAAACCCGCATGCGACTAGGGTGGGCGCCAAGTCGTCCCCAGGAACCTCTACTCCTACTCCTCCTCCTCCTTCTCCTCCTTCTCTTCTTCCTCCTCCTCCTCCTCCCCTCCTCCTCCTCCTGCTCCTCCTCCTCCTCCTCTTCCTTCTCCTCCTCCTCCTCCTTCTCCTCCTCCTCCTCCTCCTCGTTCTCTTCCTCCTCCTCCTCCTCCTCCTCCTCCTGCTCCCAGGACTGGCGTTAACCAGGACTGCTGCACGACTGGCGTTAGCCAGGAATCAGTTCAAGGGGTTTGGAGGGTCTCATAATTCAACTGCCGCTGCACGATTGGCATCAACCAGGACTGCTGCACGCCCGTGTAGCCAGGGATTGACTCCCCTATGGGGGTCGGGAAGGGCGGCAGCCGGGAAACATCCTCACGTTTTTGACCCCTCATGCCGGGGCTTCGGCCCCTCATGCCCTGACCCCTCATGCTGGGGCCTTGGCTGGCCCCTCATGCGTTGACCCCCTCATGCTGGGGCATTGGCCCTTCAGGCGTTGACCCCTCATGCCGGGTCATGCCCTGACCCCTCATGTTGGGGCCTTGGCTGGCCCCTCATGCGTTGACCCCCTCATGCTGGGGCATCGGCCGTTCATGCGTTGACCCCTCATGCCGGGGCTTCGGCCCCTCATGCCCTGACCCCTCATGTTGGGGCCTTGGCTGGCCCCTCATGCGTTGACCCCCTAATGCTGGGGCATTGGCCCTTCATGCGTTGACCCCTCGGGCTTCGGTCCCTCATGCCCTGACCCCTCATGCTGGAGCCTTGGCTTTGACCCCTCATGCTGGGGCATCGGCCGTTCATGCGTTGACCCCTCATGCCGGGGCTTCGGCCCTTCACGCCCTGACCCCTCATGCTGGGGCCTTGGCTGGCCCCTCATGCGTTGACCCCCTCATGCTGGGGCAATGGCCCTTCATGCGTTGACCCCTCATGCCGGGGCTTCGGCCCCTCACGCCCCGACCCCTCATGCTGGGGCCCCACCGTTGCATTGGCATGCGTTGGCATGCATTGACATGCGTTGGCATGCGTTGGCATGCATTTGCATGTAGTGACATGCGTAGGCATGCGTAGGCATGCGTTGGCGTGCGTTGGCATGCATTGGCAAGCACTGGCGTGCGTTGACATGCATTGGCATGCATTGACATGCACTGGCATGCGTTCGCATGCACTGGCATGCGTTAGCAAGTATTGGCATCCGTTGACATGCAGTGGCGCGCATTGGCATGCGTTGGCATGCAGTGACATGAACTGACATGCATTGTCATGCGTTGTCATGTATTGGCATGCATTGGCATGCGTTGGCATGCGTTGGCATGCGTAGGCATGCATTGGCAGGCGTTGGCATGCATTGGCTCCTTCCCTTCGGGATGCCGCCTCCTAGGAGCCCAGATCCAAGGATCGCTAAGAAGGGCTCAGGGGTAAGGAGGGAGGGTAAGGAGGACCAGCAATCGGACCAGTATGACATCTGCCTGCAGGAGAGCGTGTTTTCGGCCCCTGCGTCGTTGCTGGCGTTATCAGGTCCGTTGGATCCGTACCCTCCCCAGTTTTGGGTCATGATTTAGACCCCCCCTTTCGCACAGCCATGCCCCAGGGGATCGGCGAACGGTGAATCCAATCTTGAGCCCAACTGTCAGCCCGTGCTAATCCTCCTCTCTCCCGTCCTCTTCTCTGGTTTTTTTCCTTACGAATTTCAAGCATTTGCATGCGATTCACGCATTGAGGACAAATGGTTTTCAACATGTGGCTCTCGCCTTGGCGCCGCGCGCATTCTTTTTTACACGTTGCAATCGTTTCACGGGTTGAGGGCGGTTCGTTTTTTGAAATGTGGCTTTCGCCTAAGCGCGAGGCGCATTTGTTTTAAACATTTGCAAGAGCCTCACGGACTGAGGGCGTTTTCTTTTCAAACTGCTCGCTTTAGCGCCGCGCACATTCGTTTAACATTTACAGGTCTCACGGATTCGCATCGGGAACGTACTAGACATGGCGTCTTGGAGCGATTGAAGAATGTCAGGGCGCAACAGTTATTTTGATTCGCGATGGTGAAATCCCAGCAGTGGTGTTCTGGCACGGATCAGGATCGTCAAAACCCAACATTCGGGTTGACTCGTGGCGTTGAAATCATAAGAATGGTGTTCCTGGTTCGCTTCAGGATCTTCAAACGGCTCTCCCAACGGGGCACTTCCCTCTGTGGAAATAGGTCCTCCATGGGCCTATGAAGAGGGAGCTAGGAGGGAGGGTCTATGCCAACATCGTTGATGAACTTCGGGTTTACGTACACTGTTCCTCCTCCTCCTCCTCCTCCTCCTTGGCAAGGGATCCTCCAACGGCCGAGCCCTGGAGGGCGATCGCGGGGGGGATGACGTGCTGAAGCCACCGCTGTGCTGGCTCTTGTGGCCCCCTCTGACGTTGACAAGCCACTCTCGTCGGCCTGCTCGCCAGCGGGGCCGCCGCCCAACAACGACGGTTCCCTCTGGGTGAGAAGGATCCCGGAGGAGGGGAGGAAACGCAAACAGCAGGCAAGGTCAGCTAGCCCAGAGGGGAGAGAGGGGAAAAGAAATAGGGAAAACGAGACGGGGGTCGGTCGGCGTCGCGGGGGGGCGCGGCTGGAGCAGCCAGAGGTGTCCTCACTGTCACAACCATTGTGGTCTTTGTGGTGTCCGCTGTGCCGGTGCAGGCGCGCGCGCGTTGCTGTCACGTTCGTGGTGTTCGCCGAAGTAGTCGTGGCCGCCCTGGTGCTGCTAGATGGTGCTGCTGCGCGGTTGTCCCTGCTTGCGCCGTCGCAAGCGGCAGCCGTTGATCTCTAGTGGAGCAGCGATGCGTCAGGCCTCAGGTGCCGATGGCCGCGGACAGCGCCTCGTCGTTGCCCACCTGGAGAAGGCAACGGAGCTGCTGCCAGGCATGCAGCAATACTTTGGCGAAGGCCGTCCTCTCCAGGCCGTCCGCCAAAGACCGCGCGTAGTCCACCGCCGTGTTGCCTGGGCGACCACTCGCCTCGAAAACGACAGGAACGAACTTGCCGCCATGAGGTGGGTACCTCAGAATACTTCTGGCGATCGTCATCCTCGCGGCTCTGGGCGGCAAGGGCGTCCTGGCCCGAGGGTACTCGCTGGCGCGACTGGTCGTCGCTGCGAGCGCACTCGATGCTCGTACCGAAGTGGACCACGTTGTACGTGACCGCGTCGCGCGTGGCGACGTCCAGCTTGGTGTCCTCCAGCACCCTCGTTCCCCGGCGCGCTTCCAGGCCGTAGCCAACTGCCTGTATTTGCTGCGTCGCACGTGGCTTTCAGTTGGTAGGCCGCATAGCAACCGCACATCGCGTCGTGCTTCCCCGTTCAATACAGGGCCGCAGGGGCACTTCAGCGCGTACTCCCCCACCTGTCCAGACGGCGCGCCGCAGACTGCGCCGTCCTGCTTGCGGAAGCGTCACTGCGCCCTCCAGCGGAGCGGATGTCGACGCGGTCGTCTTCCCCCAGCGTCTGCAGCAATGCTGTGCAAGCCCGCTTCCGCAGCGGCCCAGTACAGTGCTCTTGCTCATCAGTGGGTGGGTCGTCCAGGCAGCTGGCCCAGTCCACCGCGTCGATGGCTCCGCTGCCCGTGCTTGCACTCTTGCCCCCCGGTGGGCCCCTTTGGCGTCAGCGACCGCAAGGCACCGAACCGCGTCTTCGCCAGGAAACCGCGCGCAAGCTCCTTCGCACGCTCTTCAAAGTCAAGGCCCGGCTTCCCACGTGATCTGCCGCTGCCTACCGAAGTCAGCCCCGGCCCTCCATGCGCCAGTCGGAGAAGCCACTGGTCTGCCCGCAGCGAGCGTCTGAAAGGTCCCCCACCCCTCTGACGATGGCATTCGTGAACTCGCTTGGTCCAGCCTACAGCGCCCGTTTTCTTACTTGTCCCGCAAGAGGTTGGTGGCGCAACCGTTCGAGCCTGTTGTTATATAATTCGCGATAACGCCCGTGACCGGCACCGCCCCTCCTGATCATGTCACGACTCGCGCCGGCCAGCCCCTTCCCCCCACTCCCCACCCCTTCCAAGTCACGCCCGTTATCGCCAGGGGATGGAAAAACGTTCTCCTGTATGTTTATCGCGCGAGAAATTCTTCGCGGGCGCCGACGCCAGCCGAACGAAGCTACTGGAATCGTGCCACCACGCGGTCAGCAACCTGAACGGCCTCGCTGCCGTCCGCTTGGCCGTGTGCGACGAGGCTTGAGAGCGGGCCATCGTGGCCCATCCAAGACATGCAGCGGAACCCGCGCAACGTGAAACCAGTTTCCGGACAGGGCCCGAGTCGCGTTGGGAGCTACGTTTTCGGGTCTGCTGACCAGGCTGCCGTTTTGCTCTCGTTGAAGGCGAGGCCAGCAGCGGCGGGGCCACTCACCAGCGCGTTTAGCCCTTGCTCGGCGACAGAGGCGGACCACCACCACGTCGTCGACAATGCGGGAACCCGCGAGCCGTGGGGGCCAACTGGCGCAGCCGGTTGCCGAATGTAACAGGTGGTCCTGCGAGGGCCAACCGAAAACACAGGAACGAACACTGACACAAACTTTTTGCATCGGCGGCTAGGCAGAGGGTGACTGCGCTGGCGAGGGGGGTTTCAACGGGGATGCCGGTAGAGCGAATGGTGCCACCATGCAACAGGAGGACAAGGAGAACACTCGGCCGAAGACAGACAGGAACGGGGCGGGAGGCTCAGGGGTCAGATCGTTCCCCGAGCGTGCGGCGCGGCCAGCCCCATGCCAACAATGATTTCTCGAAGGTCCGCGCGGATTTCTCGGATCGGCGCTGGGCCCCCTCCCTGGTGCGCAGAAGCGCGCCGGCGGGGAGGCCCGGCGCCGAGCCGAAGGATCCGCGCGGGCCTCCAAGAGTCTATGGCTATGACGCTCTTCCGTCGGGGCGACGTAGGACTCGGGCACGGGGGACACAACAAGGACGGAGAGCCGACGACGACGACGACGACGGCGACGACTGGCACCCTGCTTTTCCGAGCCGCCCTCGGCGATCGGGGGCAACATCGACCGGCCAGACGTAAGGCACGGGTACAAGGGGCTCGGGTTGGCCTGACGGGGCCATCATTAAAACGACGAGCGCCAATCTGAAATTTGACGCGAGCTCCCGCAGCAAACATCCCACGAAAACTGGGCCGCCAAAATCCAAGGCGCGTTCGCCCAAAAACGTCGGCAAACCCGAGTTCTGGCTTACTCGAGTCTCACGTGTCCCCGATTCCGCCCTCTCCTCGACAGCCCCGCTGCATGGTCAGTGGTGGCGAGACTCTGCTGCTTTGTTCCTCGACCTGAAGCGAAGAGAGCCACGGGAGGGCGGGCAACCCGTCATCTGCGCCGCGCGTGCCCCCCAACCTCCAGGGTACAGTCGGCCCTGATTAGTAGGTCGATCCTCCCACATCAAGAGTACCCTTGTGTCCTGTATCTCGCGACCCATGCCTCCTACATTCCTACGGCAATGTGGCCCTTGGAAGGGCCTTGTGTCCTCTCGCGCGTCCTGTCCAATCAAGTCCGACTGTAGTGGCTTGCGCCCCACCGGAGGTGCGCTGCGGGGTGGCAGAGCCAGCTCGCGGCCGGGCCCGGCAGCCCCGGGGGCGCTTGCGCGGCAATCCCTTCGGGCACCTCCTCCCTGCCAGCCGCGCTGAAGGCGTCTGCGGCGTCAAGCGCCAGAGCTGCGGCAGTCGGCGGCGCCGCGGTCAGAGCACTGGTAGCTTCGTGAACTTTCTCTCGACACCCGCCATCAGCTCCACCGCAAACTGGCAGGGGCAGCGGCCGTCTCGAATTTCGCCTTTGCGGTGCACGCAACAAATCCTGCAACCCGTCGCAGGACAGAGCCGCAGGCTGCCGTGCGGACCTTCGTTGGGCTTCCGCCAAGCGATGCATCAGTATGAACTCTCGGAGGTTCGCGCGGATCCCTCGGATCGTCGCAGGGCCCCCCTCCCCGGCGCGCAGAGCGCGCCAGGGGCGGCGCAGCAGGCTCAGGCGCCGCGGCGCCGCCAGGGGGGCCCAGCACCGATCCAAGAGATCCGCGCGGACCTCCGAACGTACATGTTTATGCCGTTTTCCGTCCTCTCCTCGAAAGCTCCACTGCGTGGTCGGAGGTGACCAATTAGTGCTTCATCCTGAATCTCTTTGTCGACGGTCCTGGGGCCCGGGCAGAGTCCCAGGAGCCGGGAGACGGCCAAACACCTCAGGACCTGTTTCTCTCAAGATGCGCTTGCTTGATTCATGGCGAGGTCTGCCAGCTCCGCTGCGTGGTGCGCCGCCTCGCTGACCTCTGCGGTCGTTGCCCAATGCTCGAGGCGGCTGCCGCTGGGGCCGGGCGTTGGCCACGCTGGGCAGCGACTGAACTGCCAGCGCGCCGCGGCCACCCGCTCTTGCTCCTCCTGCTCCCTCCCCCGTCCTCATCCCCCCTCCTCCTCCTCCTCCTCCTCCTCCTCCTTTTCCCGTTCCTCCCACTCCTCCTCCTCCTCCTCTTCCTCCTCTTCTTCCTCCTCCTCCTCTTCATCCCCTCCTCATCCTTGCCGCCTTCTCCCTCCCTCCCGCTTCGCCCCTTCCTTCTCCTTCTCCATCTCCATCTCCATCTCCTCCTCCTCCTCCTCCTCCCTCTCTTCCTTCTCCTCCGCCTCCTCCTCCGCCTCCTCCTCCTCCTCGGTTGCGTGGTTGCACGCGTAAGTCCAAAGTCCACACGAGGAGTTGAGAAAAGACCAAAAGAGGGAGCATCCAACCCCGAACTACCAAAAGCCACCACGGCAGGCAAATCCAGCGCCGTAGGAGGATATTGTGAGCGAGGGGATTAGATGCGGTCTGTCCTGAACCTCTGGCCTGGGGCGTGCCGCAGGGAGTTGGATTCGGAATGCCGCCTCGGGGCGCGTCGTCGTCCCAACCCCTACTCCTGCCTCCCACCCGGCCCCCAATCGCGATCCGACCTGTGACGGAACCGAGCCTGCTCATGCATTATGGTACTGGGAAAGTGGAGGAAAAGTGCAGAGACCCTTAACAGCTGGTGTACAGCCCGAAGGCCCCATAAAAATTATCCTGGCGAAGGACCCAACCAGATGCAGTTGCGAGTACCGCAATTGTGAGTATCTTCTTCGATGGCGCTCCTTATGGGGCCACGAACCGTATGAGGGGTGTGCCGAAATCTGTGCGGTGGGCGCATGGGAGCGCAGCCACTGGGGCCTTCGCTGGAGCTCCCTATGGGGCCACGAAACGTGTGAGGGGTGTGCCGAAATGGGTGCGGTGGGCGCATGGGAGCGCAGCCACTGGGGCCTTCGCTGGAGCTCCCCATGGGGCCACGAAACGTGTGATGGGTGTGCCGAAATGGGTGCGGTGGGCGCATGGGAGCGCAGCCACTGGGGCCTTCGCTGGAGCTCCCTATGGGGCCACGAAACGTGTGAGGGGTGTGCCGAAATGGGTGCGGTGGGCGCATGGGAGCGCAGCCACTGGGGCCTTCGGTGGAGCTCCCTATGGGGCCACGAAACGTGTGAGGGGTGTGCCGACGGTGGGCGCATGGGAGCGCAGCCACTGGGGCCTTCGCTGGAGCTCCCTATGGGGCCACGAAACGTGTGAGGGGTGTGCCGACATGGGTGCGGTGGGCGCATGGGAGCGCAGCCACTGGGGCCTTCGCTGGAGCTCCCTATGGGGCCACGAAACGTATGAGGGGTGTGCCGAAATGGGTGCGGTGGGCGCATGGGAGCGCAGCCACTGGGGCCTTCGGTGGAGCTCCCTATGGGGCCACGAACGTGTGAGGGGTGTGCCGAAATTGGGCGCATGGGAGCGCAGCCACTGGGGCCTTCGCTGGAGCTCCCTATGGGGCCACGAAACGTGTGAGGGGTGTGCCGAAATGGGTGCGGTGGGCGCATGGGAGCGCAGCCACTGGGGCCTTCGCTGGAGCTCCCTATGGGGCCACGAACGTGTGAGGGGTGTGCCGAAATGGGTGCGGTGGGCGCATGGGAGCGCAGCCACTGGGGCCTTCGCTGGAGCTCCCTATGGGGCCACGAAACGTGTGAGGGGTGTGCCGAAATGGGTGCGGTGGGCGCATGGGAGCGCAGCCACTGGGGCCTTCGCTGGAGCTCCCTATGGGGCCACGAAGCGTATGAGGGGTGTGCCGAAATGGGTGCGGTGGGCGCATGGGAGCGCAGCCACTGGGGCCTTCGCTGGAGCTCCCTATGGGGCCACGAAGCGTATGAGGGGTGTGCCGAAATGGGTGCGGTGGGCGCATGGGAGCGCAGCCACTGGGGCCTTCGCTGGAGCTCCCTATGGGGCCAAAAAGCGTGTGAGGGGTGTGCCGAAATCTGTGCGGTGGGCGCATGGGAGCGCAGCCACTGGGGCCTTCGCTGGAGCTCCCTATGGGGCCACGAAACGAGGAGAGGAGAGGAGAGGAGGCGGAGGAGGAGAGGAGGAGACGCGGGGCACCGTCTCTTCAAAACGAGGACCCAACACCACAGGATGGTTGGGAAAAACGCAAACCGCACACGCGCGCACACCGCGCCACGCACCCTAATACTCGAAGCGGGCCCGAGCATTCTTCGTTTAACGTGTTGTGAGTTCATGATGAGAAATGCTTGTCTTGATACTTGTGCCCGGTCAGAAGCCGAGGGAATTTATGCTGACTCTTGAAAGAATGTCGCAATGAAGAACACCATTGAGAAAACAACGACAACATGTTGCAACAACGCACAATTGACATCTATGATGCCAGGACGCCACATGCAATAACTCTGAGGCATACCAAGAAGCCACATTCAGCCATGTACCAACCCGTGCTGCAACAGCAATCCGAGGCTGCACAGTGTAACTATAATCGAATCAGCACGCAACACACCTTCCAAGAGATATCATCGACGGCCGTCCCTGCCACAGACATTCCGCCTCCTGCGGGGGGGGGCGATACCTGAGATGGGAGCACCAGTCCGAACTCCACGGTCCCGCACCCGAGGACGGCCATGGGCATCCAGAAACACGCGAAGAGCCCTGCTGTCTGGCAAATCCGCCAGCCCCCTTGAGAACAGCGGGGTCGTATCGGTACCAACCTCAGCGGTCGCCATGATGGCCAACCCGTTGCCCTCGAAGGGGGTGTAATCAGACCCTAACGATCGACTCCATGGGACTCCGCCGCCTCGCACCCGTGCAGATGGATTCGGCCGCGCCGCCAGCGCCCGCAAAAAAAAAAAAACCTTCATGAGGTAACTCCGCAGGAGCCTGCACCCTTTCATGGCCCTCGGCTGGGGAAGATGTGATGCTTTCGTGCTCTACACCATGCGGAGGAGGACTGGGCGGACCACGATCCATAACACGAGGGGCTGCGACATTCAACTGGCACGTCACTGGGAGATCACAGGACTTCGCGGCGTCCGCAGGTTGATCCAGGACTTACCAGACACCAGGGCAGGAAACTTAATATACAGGGTCGCATTGCTGCTCGCCCTCGGTTACTTCTCTGAGCCAGCAACCAGGAAACAATCCAGAATCATCTGGGTTGAATGGCGAGGATGCCGCTCGGCCAATACGCCGTCCACGCTGTGCACTGCGCAGTTCCGCCGATGCCGAGAAAAGCGAGAACCACAGCCTCCACGCGCATGTAGGTCTACGTTTCGCCTGAGCACATCCAGATGCTCTGGAGCCTTCTCGGCCAGAAGGGCGGACAAGGCCAGGACGATCGCAAAGAACTTGTCCCATTGCCGAAGAACTCCGGGAGCGACGACAGGAGCGTTCCAGCTCGTCCGACAACTTCCTGACCGCCCTGTCCGCGCTGAACTTGGCCCACTCCTGCCGCGCTCGCCGTTCAGCGGCCGAACGGCGAGGCGTGTGGCAAAGCTATGCCAAGCTCGATTGAGCAAACGGGGGTTGGCCCGCTGCTGGGCGACTTGAACCAACATGGCTACATATTCCTCCTCCTCCTCCTCCTTCTTCCTTCCTCCCTCCCTCCCTCCCTCCCTCCTCCTCCTCCTCCTCCTCCTCCTCCTCCTCCTCCTCCTCCTCCTCCTCACCCTCTCCTCCTCCTCCCTCCTCCTCCGCCTCCTCCGCCTCCTCCCCCTCCTCCTCCCCCTCCTCGTCTTCCTCCTCCTCCCTCCTTCCCTCCTTCCCTCGTTCCCTCCTTCCCTCCCTCCCTCCTTCCTTTCTTCCTTTCTTCTCTCCTTCCCTCCTTCCCTCCTTACTTCCTTCCCTCCCTCCCTCCCTCCTTCCCCCTTCCTCCCCCTTCGCCTCCTCCTGCACCTCCCCTTCTCCTGGCGGGAGGGCGCGTGCTGGGGGACTGGCCTGTGCGGGAAGAAGACCGCGTCCGGATCCACCTGTGCTGTTTTCGCCGAGCTTATGGGGGAGGAGGACAACGTTTGTGTTGCGCGGCCCCCATTGCTGGGAGCATCTCGATTCCCTAAATCAAAATCTAAAGATCCAGAGGAGGGCCAGAAACTTGGGAGACGATGGTGAAGCGCTGGAGAAGGAGCAGGGTTGAGGAGGAGGCGGAGGAGAAGGAGGAGGAGAAGGAGACAGGATACTCAGAGGGGAGATGGGAGGTGATGAGGGTGCATCTGAACTATCTTTGGAGGAATCTTGGCTGACGAGGAAAGGCGATGTGCGATCTGGGAAGAAAAACGCAGAAGGAAACAGAGGGATGGGTTAGGCCATGGGAGGGACGGGCGCCACAGAAGACGGCGGCGGAGTCCGAGGAGGCGGAGGTGGAGGCAGCGGAGGAGGACGAGGAGGACGAGGAGGAGGAGGAGGAGGAGGAGGAGGAGGAGGAATTCGCTGGAATTCGCTGATATCCACGGGGTGGCAGAGGAGGAGGAGGAGGATGAGGAGGAGGAGGAGGAGGAGGAGGAGGAGGAGGAGGAGGAGGAGGGGGAGGAGGACGAAAAAGAGGAGAAAGAGGAGGAGTAGAAGGGGTAAGTGGCGAGAAAAAGAACTTATGCTAATAGCAAGCGTAGGCGCAAGGGGGATGGATGGGGCGGCCCTTCCAGGACCCGCGGGGCGGGTGGGCAAGGGGAAGCGGCAGAGGAGAAGGGGGAGGGGCAGGACCAGATGGGCGCAGCCATAGCCTGACGCGGGGTCGCGAAGCCTACGTATGCCACCTGCCTTCGGGGTGCGCGACGTGCGGCCATCTCTCCTCTCGCTCTCGCGCCGCCAACCTGGAACGGAGGCAGCGAGGCCCTGGACTTAGGTCGGGCGTGTCCCCCTACAGGGGGATTTTGGCCAACCCAAAAAATAGTCAAAAGATACCCCCGACTGGTTAAACAATACTCAAAAAATAGTCCCCAGACTATGTTTTGACTATTTTTGAATATTCCTCCTGTAGAGGGACAGGCCCGGCGTAACCCTGGACCTGCGTGCGACCTGGCAGAATGGCCACTTCCGCCATCGGCGCGGCAGGTCCGTGGCCGCAGCCAGGGGCTGGGCCCCAGAGTGCTTGGCGAGAAGCGAGGAGAGAGAGCGCAGAGGCCTCCTAGATGGGGTCCTCCTCCTCCTCCTCCTCCTCCTCCTCCTCCTCCTCCTCCTCTCCCTCCTCCTCCTCTTCCTGCTCCTCGTCCTCCTCGTCCTCATCGTCGTCGTCCTCCTCCTCCTCCTCCCTCCTTCTCCTCATCTTCATCCGAATCACCGGGGTCGGGGGACCGCGCCGCATCGCCGATGCATCACTGATGCATCAACGATGCATCAATGACGTCGGGGGTGCCATCGGCGACGCCAGCGCGGAGCAAATCCGGCTCCAGGCTCCACATCGAGCCGCATCGGCGATGCATCGGCGATGCGTCGCTGTCCTCCGACCCTATCTGCTCGGACCCCATCTGGGAGGCCTAGAGAGCGGGCGGGTGGGGGCGAGGACGCGCTTCGTCTTGGAGGGGGGCCTCCAGAGGAGGGGGGACTCGAAGAGGCCTCCAGCGGCCCGAACGAAAAGGCCAGAGTCGTCAGAAATCCTCGATGCTCCTCCCACCTCGGTCGTCTGGTCGGGAGGAGGCAAGGACAGACAAGGCAGGATGCGGGGAGCCGCCGAGGAGGAGACACTCGTGACGCGACCGACCTCCCTGCCCCGCTCGCCTTCACTGTCCAGTCGGCAAGCTGAAACCTGTTCTTGCCAATCACCTCCTTCCAGATGTCGACGAAGATATCGGAATTCGACACCGACCCCCAGAACTCCTCCCCTCTCGCTTCAGAGCGCAGCACGATTGTTCTGAAAAGGTGGTGGAACAACAAGCATGTGTGCTCCATCGTTACTTGAAATGCGTGCATGTAGAAGCAATTTCCCGCTGGCCCTGAGGTCCTTCACACAATAAGAAGTCATTGCCGCTCCAGTCCCGTCTTGTATCATTTCTGCATGCGAAGGCAAGCAATCGGCCAAACGCCGCAAGTCTGGTTGCCGATCGATGCTGTGGGTGCTTTGATCAGGCATAGGATCAGTCGAGAAGCTGTGGCCAGCCTTTGGGATTAGCGGCGCTCTGGTGGGTCGGACGAGGAACTAAATACATACACCAGAACATCAATCCATTTATCTACACATATACAGTGCGGGCGCGGCCGTAAGAAAACCTCGCAAGAAGCCCAACCCTGAGAACCCGTGCGCGAGGTGCACCTGAGGGGAAACCTGGAGCACCCTGAACGCAGCAACTCCTTCAACGGCTGCGGGAAGTCACCGCGCAGCGCGAGGAGCGAAGAAACCCAGGATACCCTGACGAGAAGCATATGGTTTTTTGATGCGCGCCCCCACTGTATATACATATATTTAGGTAGATCTATGTGTAAATTTGTGTGAATATATATATATATATATATATATACGCATCTAACATTTGCGTCTCACGGGTCCTCGGCCCGTGCACCTCGTGGCCCCCAACCAAAGGTTCGGTCGTCCACGGGCCGCGGCCTGGCTCCGCAGCCTGTGCACCGTGCCCCTTGGCGCACTGCTCGCCCGCGCGGACGCAAGAAGGATCCGGTGCTGTCTTTGACCGATGGCCCCTCCTCCTCCTCCTCCTCCTCCTCCTCCGCCTCCCTCCTCTCTCCTCTCTCTCCTCTCTCCTCCTCCTCCTCCTCCTCCTCGTCCTCCTTCTCCTTCTCCTCCTCCTCCTCCTCCTCCTCCTCCCTCCTCCTCC